TTCCTTAGGCTCTGCAGCAATACAGACAGCAACAAAGTTAGCAAAACCACTCATTCCCACATTTCTTAATTTTTGTACTTTTTTGATTAAGTTCAATCTATTTTTTTAGCTTTTACAAAATAGACAGTCATAGGCAACTTTCACAGAGTTAATCATAATGTCCATATAAGACTAGTACACAGACTTCCAGAGGTACTAGAAATGACTGGAGTTGCTACCAATGGAAAACATAGCCCTGAAGCAATCATCTAAACCACCTAGAAGAAATATCTAAAACGTCAGGTTATTTTTGAACATCTGAAACTTCATTTCTAGTATTCACGTTTCCCTGTGTTTAAAAAGAAAACAGTAGTACTGTTCACATAGTTCAGAAAGTAATTCTTCTTATAAGATGCTTCCTTATTAAAAGTACATAGTAATTGAACAAAATAACATTTTAGAAGTTAGTGAGGTGGTTTGTTCAGAAACAACAGATCCATAGAGCAATAGATCAATTTAGGAAACAAGTCTCAGCCTCTGAAAATCAATAAACCCTTCTAGAACATCAGCACTATAAAGCAGCTTTATAAAGTAAAATTACTTACAATTATCAGCTTTGTAAAAACAGTTCAGTGCTTTCCTCGAACAGCTCGCCAGTTTTCAGGTAATACTTTTCATTCTGAAGTCAAACAAAATCAGACTGACATCACCACAGAAACTTCCCACCTTCCTTCTACTGAGATGAAGAACCAGACCTTCCTTCTCCCATTGATACCACCCCACCATGTCCAATTTCCATTACTAAACTGGTTGCCCGATTGATGCACACTATTTCCTTCCCACCACTCCCAGATACCACATAATATAGTTGTGAAAATATTTTAACCTATGTACTTTCAGCATAGGTCACCCTTATAGGGATCCTCTCTGAACACAGAACTGCTCTCAAGAAGATGTAAATCTTGACTTATACATAAGGACCAAACCAGGGATTTTCATCAATAAACCTTTGGCTGTTATAGCTTGAGCAAAGAGCCCAGATTCCCAAGCTAAAATTTATTTTTCTGATTTAATCTTAGAGCAGAGGAAACATCATCCATTTACACTCTCATGAAAGCAGTTTGCTTACAGAGCAAAAGATTTGTGAATTACCACAACATGATTTTCCTTACATTTAGTTTGTTATTCCTTTGTTCTTGCTGCCATGAACTATCGCAACATTTATGCTCCATCCCTTCTGTGAGGAAAGGAAATACTTATTATTTCCTCAAATGATGACTCCAGTGGCAGTTTATCAACAGCCCAGCAAGGCACCTGGGGCAACTGGGAGAACTGGTGGGGAGGCCTTAGCTGTGGGCTCCTCATCACTAACAGGTGCACATGGAGCTGGTGTGTACGCAGGCTGGGGGTTTTAACTCCTTTCAGAGAGGTTAGAAACAAAGTAGGAGGGAAGAAACAAGAAACTAACAAGAGTAGTAAGGGCGGTAACAAAAGGGTGTTCGGGCATTGCTGTTGATTTTAACTACGCTTGCTTGGCCACATGCTGACAGTACTGAGTACAAGTGATGTTTTTTCTTTAAATTATTGCAGTACCACAACTAATAAAGCACAACAGTACACGGATCACCACTGAGAAGATTCATGTGGAGCTGGCCCTGTGAAAGTGAGCCATACTCATTTATCAAAGAACAACAGAAGTTGTGGATCCAAGGAATCTCACACATACGTTTCACACTGTATGTAATTTGATGATGAGCCAACTACTTTATTCCATAATTATGACAGCTTAGATGAGCCTTTTTTGAGCTCTCTTGGCTCAGCAGCCTGGCTGCATGGCAGTGATCCCCCCTTGAGCTGGGACACCTCTCAAGGCTATTCCTTGAGGCAGAGACACATTTTACCAACAGCAGTTCTTTGGTAAGTAACTGATAGGCATACTGTATTAACACTAATGAATCACGGCTAATCTATACAGTTATTAAATGAGAGAATCACAGAATCCTAGGGGTTGGAAGGGACCTCGAAAGATCATCTAGTCCAACCCCCCTGCCAGAGCAGGGTCACCTAGAGCACATCACACAGGAATATATTGCAAAATATTATTGCAAACTTTGTGTAGATAATTCCAGTAGGCATGAACCACTGTCCAGGCCTCAGGCTACAGCTGGAGCTAGTCACACCTAAGCTCCATCAGCTTAGAAAACAAGCGGGTTCACTCAACCCCATGACTAAACGGGAGGGTCTTCCTTAGCCTCCTGTGTCTCTGCTCTGTGTGAATCGCTCTAATCGATTCTAACTCATTTCTCCTTTATATGTTTCTTGTCATCAAACGTAGCAAACCTTGACAAACTACTGTTACATTTTGTTAAATCCCATCGAATTTCTTGAACTCCGTCAAACTAGCATATTTACCTCAATAAACCGTGTTTCTCCTCCCCTGGGCGAGGTGCATCTGCCACCAGGGGGGCAGGACCCCCCGCCCTCAGAGCGGCCCCTCAGCGCCTTCCCGCCGCCCCCGCGCGCCCCCCGCGCGGGCACCCCTGGCGGGCGGGGGGCGGCGCATGCGC